ATTTTCTGCGCGTACTGTAAATGATGACATAAAAGGAGTAAAATTATTAGGAATAACTTTGGACAGTAACTTGACTTAGAGCTATAATACTAATCAGTGAATTATGTTCAACAATAGGGGAATCACCGACGCAAGATAATCGTGGACGTGTATGTTTCACTATGTTAGAAAAGAATGAAAGAGATATTCCGAGGGATGCAATCGTGAGTCCATCCCAGATGCAGTGCCGTACAATAAGTGGTGAAGTGACGACGCGCTCGTTTTACAAGGTATGTTTATTTAAAGATTTATCAACAATTTCTTATATATTTTTTACTAAAATTGAATAGGTGTATAATATTTTAGGTATTACATAGAAATATCACATTATTTTTTCTTATTAATGTATCATTTAACAATGTTTTTAGGGAGTAACCGCGTGCACCACGCTATTTTAACCTCAAATAAAAATATTGGTTTGTGGTATTGTGTGTGTCGGCTAATGGCGGATGATTTTAGGGGGTTAATCCCGGCCATCTGCAATTACCCCTACATACCGTATAGTTCATATAGTTTGTTTTATACCTTTTTTTTTCAATTATATATTGTTGTTTTCTACCCTGCGTATCTATATCAAATTGTAAATGATGTACCTACCTATTTTAAAATATACTTATATTTAACTGACTATATTTCAGATACCACGAAATTATCAAAGAAAAACTGAGACCAAATACAAATTATAAGACAGAAAAGGCTATTCAAGATATTAAAAGTAAAATACTTTCATTTGGAAAAGCAGCTGCTATTTATTCTATTCCGAAAAGGAGTATACACTACTACCTCAAGAAAGAAGTTATACAGGTGCCAAAAACTGGCAGAAAGAGAGTTAGACGACTATATTATGAAATGCAATAAATTATTTTATGGTTTAACTATAGAAATGGTACAAAAATATCATTCAAATTTGCCGAAGTGAATAATTCAAAGCACAATTTTGACAAAACACCTCAAATGGCAGGAAAAGACTGGTTCTATGGATTTGAGAAAAGGCACCCTAATATTTCACTAAGTAAACCTGAGTCCGGCTATTAATGAACCATCAGAAGTGAAAATGTTCTTCAATAATTTAGAAATTTTACAAACCAAACATCACTTTGATCTTAATCGAATATATAATGTGGACGAGACAGGTATATCCAATGTCCACAGACATTCAAGGATTTTAGCACCAAAAGGCCAGAAACAAGTCGGTATGGCAACAAGTAAGTTGTCTGTGCTTGTTATGCTTCAGGAAAGTATATTCCTCCATTTTTTATTTTTCAAAGGAAGCGTATGAATGATCAGTTGTTACGTGTGGGCAATCCTGATATGATAGCAGCCGTAATTGATTCAGGTTGGATCAACGAGAACTTATTTGTAGATTGGTTACACCACTTCATATCTTTTGCTAATCCAACAGTTGCAAATGAAGGCGATGGAAAGAAAAACGAGTAGGTATTATTGCCTAATTTGTGATGAAACGTATGAAGATCCACCTAATGAAGATTGGATAAAATGTTACAAATGTAATTGATGGGCCTACGAAAACTGTACGAGTGGTGGAAGTACATCAAGAGGCTTTGTTTGTGATTTCTGTTCTGATTAGACTATGCTCGTAATCACCCCACATACCATCCACAATTACTCCACGTGTTGTGCGGGGTAATGTTTTGTTTTTGTATTAATATTTTATTTTATATGGAACATTCATCTACGTTCAATATGAGAACCTAAGATTGATTTGTTATAGTTAACTTTTAGTAATAAATAGCATTCATAACCTCAACTGGTTTTGTTTAATTTCAGTTCTTCCTTAGATGTTCGCAATTACCCCACTCTCCCCTATTTATTTTGCGTCAATTGAGAGATGTAACTAGTCCCCATATTCAAAAAACAACTTATTTTTCTCTTTTTCACTCTTCCATTAGCAATGGTGTACTTCCATGGGAGCTGCGAATATTTTTATGATTCAAAAAAGAGCTATACCAATCATCAGTCACTCTTATTATAGAGAACATTGCCAAGATCTTTTCATGAAATTTAAGATAATGTCATTATCTACATTATACGTATTTGCAGTTTTATTTGAAATTCACAAAAAGTCAAGTTCCTTGATCAGACAGTCTGAAGTGCCTACTTACATAACTATAAGACACGGAATGCCAATTCAGTTCGAACAAAACGATTTCGTTTAACAAAATCTCAAAAAAGAAAACGCCTTCTCGAAACAACTACTTTTATAAAATCATTGAGTTACGAGAAAGAAAGAATACCTGCTTTCGAAACAACTAGGTAGGTACTTTTATATGAACTTTGAATTAAACAAAAACACTCTTTTCTAATCAGTTTGTAAACTCCAAATATTTGTTATGCAATTGAATGATATATCGTTCACAGGATTGCTATACATAATATCATATATTGAAGAGGTCCTAATATTTCACATAATAGAACACTCTCAGCTTCAATGGCAGATATCGATGTTTCGGAAAAAATAAATCACTCAATCCATTTATAAAATTACGAACTGTCACGAATTAGTTAAATCTACTCATGTCATCGATTACAGTACGTAATGACATTCATTCGCTTATTTGATTCCATCCCAGCCATAGAAGTTTTGTTTGAATTCAAAGGAACGAAAAGTTATAGTTTCAAAATTGTAACTTGTTATTTCACTAAAACTGCCAGAAATAATACCTTTTTTGAAAGCCGCCTAACATTGGAAAGGCTAATAATATTCATTGCATATATTTTGTTTCACGGAAAAAACGGTTTTGGCTTTCTATTTCTTTACATCCCAGAATTAAAGAATTGAACATGGGCTCAGAAGCTGTGATTGCCTGGAACAAACATCGCAGTAAAATATTTATTTTTCATTGAAGTGATGTGTATTACCTACATTCAATATAATTTCAGATTCGTTCGAAATGACATGAGAAATCTTTTCCAAATTGGGTGGAATAGGCAAAATAGTTGAATTCGATGAAAGTAAATTTGGAAAAAGAAAATATAATAAAGGACGAATGGCAGAGCGTATGGTGGTATGGAGCGATATACCAAAAGAGTTTTCATGGTCCCAGTTCCTGACAGGACTACAAAAACACTCATAGAAATTATCTATAAAGGAAAATATCTAGCTTACAGTAGGTATACATTTTGTTGATCTTCCTACTGCTAGCTGATGTGCAATATATTTTCTTAATACCTATTTATAATGAATAAATATATATTTTAGGTGCCAACACATACTTCGCAAAGTTTTTAAGACCAAACCGGCAAATATTGAGGATTTAAAAGAACGAATAAGACAGGAGTGTAGGCTAATTTCCGGCGAAGTAGTCAGAAATGTTCAAAACGAGTTTCAGTTACCTTCACATGATGTGAAGGTATGATATTTGTCAAACCAAAAAAACTCTATTAATGTTTAACTTTTTTTGTCGATTTATATGTTCAATTAATTGTTTTTTACTCATTTTTACTGTAAGTATGATTTGTAATTTTATTCATTGGCAAAAAAACCCACAACTCAATAAATTATATGCCCTGAAGAAGCTTCCCACTAGAAGCGAAAGCTTGGCAAAGTAAAGCAGAGTTTTTTTTTTTTTGATTGATGCAACTAATTTTACTAATTTTACTTTATTTTGAGTATTTCAATAATAAATTCTACAAAAAGGATTTGAAGCTTTATATCTTCTATTAATTATCTGCGAGTGCTTTCGACAGTTGGTAGTACTGTCATCATCTGGCACTCTTCAATGGAGGAGTGCCAGATGATGATGATGATAGTTGACTGACATGACATATGTCAGTCAACTATCTGTCAATCCTTCCAAATTAATGTTTTGTGAAATTTCGACATGTGACATTATTCTTCCTTCAAAATAATTTAAAACTGTAACGTTTTTCACAAATATTTTATTCAATATTAGACATCCCTTAACCAGTTTTATAAATGTATTGTATCAATGTTCATCCATCATTGTGTCCAATATTTTACATAACCATCGTATGAAACATCCTCAAAAAGTTTTTTTTCTTCAAATGAATATAATTCAGAAATGTGTTAATTTGATTTGTTATTCTACACGGTTGTCAAAAAAATAGTGTCCAAAAACAGGCTCCTACGGCTCCTCCAAGAAGTTTGTCTACTCGTTCAAAAAACAGGATTTTCCAGACTTGTTACGTAATATAGGTACTATTTTCGGAATGTGCTTGTCAAAAAATGGTCAAAAAATTGAATAAGCGTGAAAACTTGCAAACCTATTGAAATTTTAATTTTATCTGCAGTTTATATTCTTGGGTAATACCTACACAAATACAAAAACAGTTTCACTATTGAGAAGATAATTACCTATAGGTGGGTAGATACATACCTAATTTGTGATATAAGGATCACGAGGTCATGCAAAAATATAAATCTACATTCAATTCTGTTTCACAGAATGCATCAACAAATCCATGAATACTTAAAAAATGAAGACCAACATTTTATCAAAGAACTTAAAATTGTATTACTACGTAAGGTACCCACCTACGCAGTCCATTTCTGAGAGTTTTTGATTATGACTCTTTCATTTTTGTACTAAATTTATCATACATTTTCAACATATCTGTTTCAAAACTTGTATTTCTTTCAGTAGCTTTTTGAAATAAATAAATAAACGACTATAATAAATAAAGAGGTCGTGTTTAGATGTATGTTAATGATAAAAAAATCTCTTTGAAGTGGAGGACCACATGGACGCACTTTACTTCCAAAGAGATTACAAGATTATTTCAATATAACTCACTACTTAACTTTCATAGGCCCCAGCCCCTATTTGCTACTACTCTGGGGCCCACGATAATTCTATTACGAAATGGGGTGATATCCGGCAGCCTTATTGGCCTTCCGCCGGTTAAGCCACGCCCAGTTGGTTCCACCTCTACGTGACAGACTGCCACCCATTCATTCCAGCCAGATATGAATCAGTTCTAAATTGATAGTGAGTGAGGGAGTTGGTTGTAGTCCTATCGTCTGCTTTTACGTATTGGCGAACGAGTTTTTAGTGAATAAAATGCATTCCATGAACGAACACGCATCTGTTTTATCCGGGATGATGTCTTTCGAATCTATCAGTTTGTACGAGCAACCCAAACCTAGGTTTATCTTCAAAATGCCCCGTGTTGTGCCAGATCAGAAGGCAAAATTCGAATCTGATGAGTTGTTCAGGAGGCTCAGCAGGGAGAGTGAGGTGAGAGAATAATATTTTTTTTTATTCAAGAAACACTATTGTGAGATTTTCACTACATAGTTTTACAAAAACGTAACACGTGTTTCGCTAAACAATAGGTTCTTCAGGTGTGTCATTACTAACTAAAATCTACAGATTCACTGCTTTATATATGTTTAACAACTTGAAGTACGTAAATTTCAGGGACCTGTGTTTCACCCAGCCAATTAATGTTAAATGTGTACCTGAATTTCGTAATGTTCTGAATTAAATGATATGATGGGCTTATGTATCTGTTTCATACTTTTCTCTTCAAGTTTAACACTTCATATTCAATATTGAATATTGAACGCACATCCCTGCAAATGTGTAATTGGCTCTTCCAATAAAAAAACTACTTCTGTCCTCTTTAATTCTTTTGGAGAAAGTTGTACATGTTTGGCCAATATAAAGTTATGGAAAAGAGCCACAAGTCAACTCATATTACCTACTCCTAACCTGAAGTTTTGTCTTTATTTCTTTTAATAAACTTACCTAAACTATTATTCATTCTCTAAGCCTTTTTCAAAAAACGAGCGATATTATTGATGGGTTCACCAAAAAGGACAATGTGATTTTATTGGTGGGTTCACCAAAAATGGCAGTGTTCCAAAGCGAACGTTTCTTGAAATTCCCAAAGAATTGGCTGTGTTTTCCAACATTGATATAGGTAAGATTTGTAACCTTCTACTGAGGAATCAATAACACGTCTAACCAATGAACTAGAACACCGAATATGTGAATTATGCTCCTCGAAACGAATTGTTCAGTCCGCTCAGTTTGACCAATGTAGTTTTGTTGCAGTACCTCCTCACCGAAGTGAAAATTCGCCAGGATGAATATATATGCTATGATTCAATTATAAAGAAATAGTTTCAGTATTTTCCTGATGATGCTAACAATTCGATTAACGAAACGCGCGTCAAGCAGTGACGGCTCGTGCATTTGAGAACAGGGCTAAAGTCAAAGACTATATACACACAGAAAAACCCGCAGCTGCCGGAGCAGAGGCGCGAAAATTTTTATGTTGTTGCACGCTTTGCTTAATACTAATGTGAGGGCATGGGCATGGCAATGCGTAAAAAGTGCATGAGGAACTATGGACTTTATTTTAGTTTGTAAACCATTTAAATGGCCGGCCATGACCGAAGCCCCATCATAGGTTTGCGCAATTAACTTTTGCCTAAAATTATATGTGTCACACGTAAGAATTAAAAAATTAAACGAATCGTCAGCTGTGCGCGCTCAGATGAAACATCATGAAAACCCATAAAACGTTCTACCACATTACCATCTTTGACCATCTAAAAACGATTGGAAGTTGTGATGTAGGTACAGGTAATATCGGTAGTTTCATCAATTTCCCATGCAAAAAAAGAAACACTTTCAATCTCCTTGCTTATATTTTCCTTAATAATAATAGATTCCACACTGTCTATAAGCTCATTTTGGGTGGTTTTTGAGGTGCCTGAAAAAACGCTACCGTTTAAAAAAGTGCCAAATTGTGAATCATATTTGCCCCATAACATTAAAAGTTCCTTGTAATTGCCGCGATTAATTGAATCTTCGGTTTCATCGTCTCCGCGAAAAGCTAATTCTTGGGTACCCAAATAAATCGTAATATCCATAAGTCTTTTTAAATTTGACCGATTATCCCTAACCTGATTATTGAAAGAAATTATGGCCTCTTTTTGAGCTGTATCTAAAGCAGTTGCTATATTTTGTTTGCTAAACAATTTTAATTTACAAAACGAAAATATATGCTCCTTAGATTTAAAATGTCTTTCTGTAGAACGAGGTAAATTTGATAAATCGGAGTATCCTATTTTTAGACCACGTTTGGTATACGGTTTGTACGGAAAATAAAATACAAAGCCAACAAAAAAGTTTTTCTCGTTTAATGGAGCCGGTTAACCAATCGCATTTATCGTATTAACTAATATTAAATCATCGATTTAGTCGATTATCTGACGCTTTAATTGAAATCAAATTTGGTTGAGGCCTTCCCAGAGTTTTAATAATGTAAAATTTATTATCAAAAGATAAAGACTTAAAATTATTTGTTAGCAACCAATCGACTATATCGTCAAATTTTTTAATTTAGTCCAACTTATCCATAATAAATGAAAAAAAACTTGCCGAAAAGTGAAAACCTGAAAACACCTTGAAATTGAAAGAAAACACTTCAAAAACACATTAAAAATATTACAATATTACCAAAAAGCACTGCTATAATACAATACTGCCTGTTTTATACACAAATATTATCAAGAAACACTAAAACGATTTACCGAAATATTTTTCAGTGCCGGTCCGTCGCGGCATCCCGTCCGAATAATTAAATAAAAAACAAACACAGTCGTACACTAACGGAAACCAACTAGAGGCTAGCCTTCTCTAACGCTATAATTTCTGCAACTGAAATCACAAATCGGGACGTATGTCGCTGGTTGGATCGGTCTCGTGAATCCTGTGTTTTTAAAAGCGGTCGGAGGCTTGGCTCCCTTGCAACGTATGGCATTTATTATTTCGGGTTGATGGTTTATTCGTTATTCGTTCATGGGCGTTGCGTTTGAGTTTTGTTGATGCAGCGTGGTACGTATACTACGTAGTGAGTGATATTATTTTTTCGGGTATATTATGTATTTATATTGAAAATAAATGGTAAAGTAATGATACCCAAGCATTTTTAGAAAAAAATAATCATAATTATTTGTCAATATCTTTTAATTTATTGCGATGAATAGCCTCAAATTTTATGGGGAGGCTGAGCCTCCCTTGCCTCCTCTGGCGAGCCGCCGCTGGCGGTATAAACATATACCTACAACTTACCTAATTCTAAAACATCCTGTATATAGTTTTCTTTCGTCCGAATTTGTGTCACAGAGTGCACTACTTCAAATTCGCCTTTTGAAATTTTGTGGAACTGTTGTTGAACCTGTTATATCAAGTTGTTCGTAACGTTTGATGAAATCAAATTTCACGGAAATCAAAAACCAGGCTAATAAGTGAATGACTAATACGGACATACTTGGAATGTTTTAAGACTTCTTCATCCGTTTGTCTGACATATGCGGCGTAGTTCGTTTATGAGACGTTGTATGATGGTGATTAATACTAAAAATACAAGATGAGTATACGGGGGCCGTTTAAAAAGTGATGTACCTAATGATAACAGTGAAAATGGAAGTCGTTTCTTCATAGCTTGCAATATCTTATGCTGTTCAACATAATATTTATGTCTTGGCGGTTGCATCTATATTTGCAATTAATTAGGTACTTTGAAGAGAAAAGTAGTGCTTTTTTATTGTGAAAATTAATTTTGAAAGTATCTTTCCAGGACCTATGTCTCCCAATCGTGAATTTATCATTCATTTTTACTCCCTCGTGTTATTCTTCAAACGAGGGAGTAGAAAGAAGATACGAAATCGAATAAAAACGTCGACAAACTTCACTAAAAATTGAATTTTGGGATAATGAAATAAATTTTCTGATTAATTCAGCCGTTACTTGATGAAGGTCCATAGTACCTAATTTCAAAAAGTACCTACACCTCACGATTTGATCTCCACAAAGTTCATTTGAAAAACATATCACATGTTTCGCTAGCACAGTATAGCTTTATCAAGTGATTTGAATCATAATATAATAATTTCCTGAAGACAAACACATTAATATCGATATTTCTAAAAACATTCCTTTTTATCTGGCATATGGCAATTCCAACAAACCGATAAGGTTTCTTAAGTTATTTTTTGTTTATAAAAACGACAAAAAATGTCAGTACGACAATGAATATCATTGTTCAGTTAGAATATCCTCATTTAGTTTTCGGTTTTACTAGTAGAATGGTACCACGTTTATATTTATATACTCCCTGAAACTTGAAAATGGCGGTCCTGATCAAATCTAGTCCCATCATTATTTTTCGTATAAAACTACTTTAGATTTATGTTCAGAAAACAGAATCTGGTTCTCACCCACGGCATACGTTTTCAATTCTCAATATCGCATCTACCTATTTACTCAATTTCATAACAACGTGATTTTGCACGAATTTAATTTTTTTATGCCAAAACCGTACGTCAAATAAAATTGAATATTTCGAATCGAAAATTTAAAAAATGATACTTAATTAATACAGTTTATTGTATGATTTTCACTATGAATGGTTTTACAAAAACCGCGACACGTGTTTCGCTACACAATAGCTCTCTCAAGCGTAAACTAAAAGAAGTAAACACATGTCGCGGTTTTGTAAAACCCTATATAGTGGAAGTCATACAATGAACTGTATTAATTAGTTTTAATATGGATTTTCATAAGTATCGGCCAGTTCTATTCAATTAAAAATGATACCGACTAGAGCACCCCGTGGCTCAAAAGTTGAAACCTTTAGGGTATATGTTCTTTGAAAGATTTTTTCAAATGGACCCCAAAAAGTCTCCTTTAAATATTGGCGTAGTATTAAAAACACCCTGTGTATAACAAGTAGAACATTGCATTTACATTGTAATACAACTTCGCAATCTACCAGTTTCTCGACAAAAATATACAAAGGATTGCGTGTGTTTCCACAGAAAACACAGATAATCCACGAGGCTGAAGTCTGGTGATTTCACTTGCCACTTCTTTTGATGATGTAAACTACGAAGACGCCCTCGGAGTCTTCGTAGTTCTATTCATACATTTTTGTACTTTGAATACATTTTTCAACTCTAAAATAATTATTTCAAATCAATATATAGATTCATGATATACCTTTTGATTACCCAAAACGGAAATGAAATTGTATTTAGCGTTTATAGAAGGTTCGTAATGGTTATCATAGTTTCAGTTACTTGGGCTAGTTTTGAGATACCCTGTAGAGAGATATACATTGGCAAGAACAAAGAATATGAAACTCAAATTCATGACTAATTTTCGCAGAACAATTGTTTATATTAAGTTCGTTATGGAATTACCCAGATGCATAACGCGTATATAACGTGTATTAATAAATTTAATAATTTCAGGAATCAAACTCGCAAAGCTATCGCTTATCCTGTTTTATTCAGAGTGTAGATTATCCAAGACATAAAACTACAGTAAATATCACGTTATTAAGACATTTATAGACAGAGTTATTATCACGAATATTATCATTTAGGAAACCACGTTTTTGTTTTTCCTACACCGTTACTAAATATAAAAGAATGATGTGGTTTTCAATATTTTACACTTCCGGTTAAGCAATAGGTTTCTAGATATTCTGTAACTTTGATAGCTTCATTATATCCTTTCCAAAATCTTACTTTCTGAAGTAACTCCGTATGATAACAAATATTCATCTTCAAAGGGTGTCTCATTGAGAATGTTACAATAAAAATGAATTCACACACTTGTAATATTCTTTAATATTTGAAAGATGAGTTTTTATATGACGGAATCGGCTGATACTTGATGAAACGTATCTGTTAAAAATCTGTTATAATCTGTTTTTCCGTTTACAGTGCATTTTTAATGTGTTAATAATTGCCTGAATACATGACATTTAACTAGGTACAAAATATGATGTAATAAGCTTGAAATGGTCCTACAATATGGTTTCCCAATATTCCTGCCCAAACGTTAATTTTTTCTGGATATTGGGTATGTGTTTCCTGGAAAACGTGAGGGTTGGTGTCATTCCAATAATGGCAATTTTGTCTGTGAACATTGACGTTTAAAAAAAATGTACGTTCGTCATTAAAACAAATATTTTGTAGATAGGTAGGATGCCTTGCAATGGTTTCCGTCATGATTTCGCAGAATTATGTTCTTCGATCAAGGTCATCTTCAGTTAATTGGTGTACCTACCATTTTAATTTTGTATGAATGATACCTATTCCTCTACAAAAGTCTCCACACAGTAGATGGAGACAACTCACAAACATTTGCGACGGAATAAGTAGACTGTTCAGGATTTACTACCATCTCATTAATCATTGGCACTTACTGTTCTTCCGGAATGGACGGATGACCTGGGGGCTTTTTGTTATATACACTACCGATAGTTGTGAATTTGGATACAAGACCTTCACGAGTTACGCGTCGCATCGTAAATAAAAATCGCTTCAATTTTTCTTCCAATGGACGGGAATTGACCATTTTAGAGATTGATCTCGTTATAGTAAAACCGAAAACTAAATGAGAATATTCTAACTGAACAAAGATGTTCATTGTCGTACTGACATTTTTTGACGTTTTTATAAACAAAAAATAACTTAACAAACGTTACACTGCAAAAATTAATCTTGTGAAAACACATAATATTACGTTGGCCTTTTTGTAACCAACGTAAAATAATGTGATATCACAGGGATTTCTGTGAACGTCATATTACCAAATAAATTTGGTGAAAACTCCTTGGGAATTTACATATTGAGTCATGTGATTTTACCATACAAGTACCGTAATTTTCACAATCTCCTTTGTAATTTTCGACCATAAATGCAGGAATCACATGACTTATTATGAATGTATTAAAGTATTAATAATGTAGAAATCTATATTCACTTCTAATATTCATTCGTAGTATCACATAAAATAAACTCCAATTCACGAGAGTTATTATCTATGAATTATATCGTCAGTGATGAGAAATTATATCTATACTGTGTGATTGCAATATGCTAAATCACTTCGAAATAAAATATCATTTTCATTGTAATTATTCTACTTCGTTTTCAAAACCTATGAAGAAAATTGGTTAAAAGGGTGATTATGAATTTTACTCTGAACAGTATTGAGAAAAATTGAGAAATTAGGAAATTATGTTCTTTCATTGGACAAGTTGAAAATATTCTGTTAATAATTACTATTCCTTTTTTGACAGTATATTTGCCCTGTTTTCAAATTGAGGATATTGAAAATATGGTAGAAACTGCAAAATATAATATATTTCGGAGTACGAAGAAACAATGTGAAATGAAATGAATAAAGTTACACATGAGATATGTATTATGTAGCATAGAAACGTTTATTAGGTTTAATGAAAACATATTCTTATCTTATTGTGATATTTATTTATTCATGAAGTTGAATACTTTTTTTTCAAACAGGACATTTTTTTTGACTTCGATCCTATATCCGGATGTATCTTCAAAAACATTCTCTGAAGAAATTCCAATGAAGTTTCTAAGGCCTTTGGGTACTTTCATAATGAAGAACAAAGAGAAAGCTACTTTGGAAGCTTCTAGAAAGCTTTTATATCCGTCTTTAATATTTTTCTTTTCAAATAACATATGGTGAATTGACAGTCCCTCAGAAGCTGAAAAAAATACATAGATTATTTTAAATTTCTATCTCAATGCTGATGAGAGCAACTGATCAAATCGAGATTCCACAGTTAGAATGAAAACATACAAATGTTACCCCATTACATTTTCTGTGAAAATATTGATGTAAATCATATTTCCTAATCGATACGCACTTGAAAGAACACACCATACATTAATACATCTGTATAAACTATAACTTAACTTTGTTTACCTGCATTCCCAAGCACCACACTTTTTACAATGCACGCTTTGACCAAAGTTTTCAACTGATTTCTAAGGGTTTCAAAGGGATTCAAGTCAAGGCGGCGTTCTGAAAATGGAGTCACTGATGTACCACGTTTCTTGGAGGGGATTTCACACAAAATATCACGTAAATTGAACTTCACATGAAATCTTATGTGATTTATTTAATTTCACAACGTATTTTTACTCAAGTCTTTGGTTCACATATGATATTCTGTGAATTCCATTATCACGTTTTTTATTGTGTAAAATTGAAGTTACCTTATAAATATTGTGAAAATTACAGTATATATATCCATGTTTTTCACAATTATTTTTAACAATGTATCGGGTTGTTGGCAGATAAAAAGGAATGTTTCTAGAAATATCAATATTAATGTGTTTGTCTTCAGGAAATTATTAAATGTTTTAGTAGGTGAAGATATTGACTTCATATTGTAGGTTTACGAAGCATTCGTCAGAAGCTTTAAAATGATATGTCACAAGACTACCCTTTCTATTTAATTTTTTTCCCAGATGACGCACAGTCGCCATCATGAAAGTTTCATCTGTCAATTTCACTTCAATATAAAGTATCCATGCAATAATTTCATTATCCCAATTTGAGTTGACCCGTTTAAAAAATAAAAGGGGGGGAAATTATAGAAATGCACTGTATATCCAAGTTTTACAAAAGCGCAACACGTGTTTCGCTATACAATAGCTTCTTCAGGCGTGTCTATACGTGTGTTCAGACACGTCTGAAGAAGCTGTTTTATAGCGAAACACGTGTCTGAACACACGTATAGCCACGCCTGAAGAAGCTATTGTATAGCGAAACACGTGTTGCGTTTCTATGAAACTGTTTATTGAAAATCTCACAATAAAGTGTTCCATGAATAAGATGAATACTGTGTTTCTCTTCAATTTATTTTAAATCTGAATGAAGTGAAGTAAATCTCTGACACAACATTATCATATTAGTTTCCATGAAATAATCCAAATTTTTGAAGATTTGCGTTTTCATTCAAAATAAAAAACCGTATATTTGGAATTGAACTAAATGAAAATGTTACTAAATTTTACATTAAATAAAAAGCAAAATAATGGTATAATACTGTGAGCTACAAAGTTAACTTGCGATTACCTTAAAATTACGATTGCCTGTTGAAGCATAAACTGTTGCTGAAGTTGAAAACTACATTAGGGAATATTATGAAATTGAACATTTTTTTTATCCTATCCAATCCATGTTCCTCCACCCAATTTCTTGAAGCTTATATGTCAGCGACCAATACATGGGTTTTGAAATTGTTGAATCTTATTTTTGTATTGAGTGGTTGAATATGCGTAGTTGAAAACTGAAAGCACCAAAGATTCACATAAAGACTTTTTCACATAAGACATATGTCACATATGTCGATTACCATAAATGATTTTCAGTGCAGAGTTAGGCACGTTGTGATGTTTATTTATACATTTTTCAAATCTCAGATCTACATCTATCAAAACACCAAGATTTTTTGCTTCACCAACAATATCTAGTGGTTCATTTCGAATACAGATATTCGCAGAGTTAATCACTACGGAACGGTGAAATATAGGACAAAAGATTATTACATTCGATTTACTAGGGTCCATTGCCAGTTCAAAAAATCTATTTATATCTGACAATGTCACAAGCATTATCTGCCATTTTTGCCGGAAAGCTGAGATATATTTGAGTATCATCAGCGTAAAAATGCACCTGACAAGTGTGAAGAGCCTGTAGTAAGTCGGAAGTATAGATAGGCCGACTATGGATCCTGATTTAAGATATAAGATATCTGAGCAGTATTCCTCTATACTAACCAGTTACTGTCTATTTTTTAAATAGATACATGTGCTCCCAACGAAATCCTTATCCGATATGGTTTGTTTTATCACTAGCTTCACACATTGTTCGTAGAGAAAAGAGTCTGTGGTAATTCAAATGTTATTTGTTCCAGGTCCGCTACACGGGTTATAGAGATCGACCTCAGGAGGAACGATCAATTCGTTTTCAGAACGGATGTCGAGAAGGGCACACAGAAATTGCTTTCGCCGCCACTGGAACCAACCTTCAATTAGTTTTCGCACCACCAACGACAGGATATATGGCCGATAAGGAGTGTGACTTTGATAAGGAACCGGGAAAGGTAGGAACTCTTCAAAACTTTGTTTCATTTTCTGAACTCTATAAAATCACACTGAATATTATGTTTCGTTTGTGTATAGGTTCTTAAATATTTAGTGAATGCTTGATGAAAGTTAACAGCTTTATTCAATAATTCGAATAACAAACGAACATTTCAATTACAATTTATAATAATCGCACTTATTACACTTGTTGACTCGTCGCCTTTTGTGGAACTAATATTCGAACTTATCGTCCAACAAAATCTGCCGATTTCTGAAACGGCAGTAACATACTAAAACGGAGGGTCTCGGACCTCTAAAACTTTGAGGTGAAGAAATACAAGTGTCGGGGGAGTAATTCTAGATTCCAAACTGACCTGGAACCAACACTTTGACAGGATAAATAGGAAAGCGGAGGTAGCACTGATGCTCGCCCGACGCACCTATGGAAAAAACATGGGGGCTAAAACCAGACATGGTATATTGACTATACACGATGGTGGTTAAACCCATGATAACATTTGCATCTCTGGTCTGGTAGCTAAAGATGAAGCAGGCGACCGCCATCAACAAACTAGGCAAGGTGCAAAGGTTTGCATGTTTTGGAATGACGGGAGCAATGAGAACTACTCCAACAGCTGCATTGGAGACACTCCTGAATCTACCTCCTTCACACTTTGTGATAATGGGGGAGGCCTGGATGGGCCAATTCAGACTGGAAAACTCACCGAACTACAAAAGATCGGACCGAAAAATTTCGGAACAAGTGGAGGAGCACATATTGAATATGTGCACGGACCACATGACACCGAAGTACACCTTTAACACAAACTTCACGGCCAATATCATAAGCGGTGAAGAGTGGAAGACCATTAGTCATCACGACAACATGTTTGGAAAAAACACCTGGTATACAGATGGATAGAAATTTCAACTACTGCTATCCGTTAGGACTATACACATCCGTCTTTCAGGCGGAAGTGAATGCTATCAGTGTGCAAGGCTTATAAATTGAGACCTCAAAGAAACGAACGGATCAATATTTTAACAGACAGCAAGAGCGCACTAGGGGCTCTGACAAACCCGAAGGTGACATCAAAACTGGTCTGGGAATGCCATGAAGAACTGAATGAACTATCTAACAGGAACAAATTAACTTTGTACTGGGTGCCAGGGCATTCAGGAATCACAGGTAATGATAAAGCTGGTGAATGCGCTAGACGCGGATCTTCAACTTCATATATAGGTCCTGAACCAGCTCTGGGGTTGGTATCCCCAGAGCTGGTTCATTGATACGAAATCAGATTAGGACATGGACCAATAAGAAGCACACAGAGTACTGGGCAATAGTACCTGGCAACAAACACAGTAGAACCTTCATTAGGGAACCGTTTGAGAAAAGAACCGAAGAACTACTTCAATATAGTAGGGATCGGCTCAGAATAATTACAGAGTTACTTACCGGTCATTGTTCGCTCAGAGGACACCTGCATAAAATAGGGCTGTACAACGGAGACCTCAGCTGCAGATTATGCAACGAAGGGATGGAAGCAGCTGAATCACAGGAGGCATGCAATATATGGACGTATATGAACGAGACTGATGGAATGGGTGTCATGAGAAGATGGGAGAATAAACGCAATAAGCCCAAGGGGCTGCAGTGTTTTCTGGAGAATTGGACTAAATGGACAAGTCAGACAGCTCCCAAGGTGTACCAAAAACAGAAAACATACATCATATGCGAACGCTTTTACAAGTTCTCTGAATTCTTCTCGTTTATTGAGAGTCTTGATCAGTGTTGACATGGTGAGTCGGATCACCATTATTGCAGACGGTACACTGGAAAACAGAGATGTAACAATTATTTGACAGAAGGGAAAACAAACGATAAAATGTATGATTCTTCCTATACACTACAAAAACGAGTCCAAAAAAGTCTACCAAGTAACTTTAGTGATATCCAGTGTTTCTATCTTTATTAATGTTCAAAGACCGTCGTAGTTTGGAACTGCATCCTAATCATTGGTGAATCATCACTCGTTCTGGCGAAACGTTAGGATGCAGTTCCAAACCACGACGGCTTTCAAACCCGAATGAAGATTGTAACACTGAAAATCCCGGCCTCGAAAGCCTTAAACAAGTTATCAGACGCCTCTACAGGGAGGAAACACTGAAACAATACATTCTTCTGGACAAAGGTAGAAAAAGAAAGGCACACTTGAAACATTGTCGTTCTTATGCTGCTGTCGGGACACAGATATCATACCAGCTTTTCTAGAGTCGATATAATGGCTTTTTCGTGGTCATCAAGCTTTTTTGAAGGCCGTTTTTTGTAATTAACCACCAAGGGTTCTCTTCAGCTGGTGTTCCACAAGAAACCATATTATCTCCAACTCCTTTTATTATACATCACGATCTATGGGAAAACCAAAAACCAACTTTGGCACAATAGGTTTTTATTCTTTCCATTAGGATCTTAGACCCGAAAATTAGCTGCCAAGATATAGAAAACAAGTAAGATTTTATGTAAATGTGGCGAAATTGGAAATCATAATTTTAAGGAACCATACAATTCTTCTAGCTACGAGGATTAGTTGGTTGGGTGTCAAATTGGATACCAATATATCTTAGCATAGTCACCTTACTGTGATAGCAGAACAGCTTTTCAAAAACTTGGAACACTATTTTGAACAAGTGTGAGTTTTTTCAGAACTCGTGAACTAGTTGAGCTCTCCAAAAAAATTGAGATTTTCAGAGATGAGAAAAGATATCGAGAGAAAAGTTCAGATTTCAAGAAGTGGTCTGACCACGTTATTGCATGGATTGTGTTTCGCTGATATTGTCTCACGAGAATCCAATCCAAATCCTCTCTCTCTCAATGTGTGCCATTACCAGTTTTGATGTGCATCTTGCTTTTGATGAGGTAATAAACTGTGTGCAGGATAAAAACAGAGCTGATCAAACTCGCTAAGAGTATTTGAAAAGCAATTAAACTGCGGTTATGGGTGTGTGGGTGTTCGAATACTTTTGCGAAGGCTGTAGGTATCAACGAGTTGGGGGAGAGTTTTGCTATGGCGTCCCGACGATCAATAAACGAGCTCCGCTCCCATTGGTCGTCCTGGGCTGGCGTCGATATTCGCCATGTTCAAGAGTTCGCAATCGTCGGGGTCAAGGATGTGCAAATACTGAAATTAGAAAAGGATAGCTTCTATTGAGTTCACTTCCTTTCCTCGCTTGTTTTTGGTAATTCATTTCCTGAACAGAATGTTACAAAAATGTATTTCAGGACGCTTATTGCAAAAGGACGTTTAATGAACATTAGTTCAAATAATACCAATATGGAAATATTAGATTTATAATTTATTTGTCAATATTCATTCACTGAATCATTGATTTGACTTTCAAGTATGTACAGAATATTAGTACATCAATGAAAAAACATTGAAAAAATGATACAATAATGATAATAATATGTTCATTCATCACAAATAGATAGAATAGAAAACAATTAGAAATGAATACAATGACAGATGAACTTGGAAAATAACAAAGAAATTAATACGTGAGTGGTGTAGATTTCGTATTATCTACCTATATGTAACTCATGGCTATTCATCGACAAAGTGCTTTCTTTTGTGAATTAAACATATAAACTATATATTATATTTATAGAAAACTCAAAACTACGGAAATTATTATATAATATGACTAGACTATAACATATTCTAGTTGGAGATGAAATTTGCAAGTGAATATTTAGGAGCCAATTTTTTAGTTGATTAGTTTGAGTTCCATCGGCAGTTTATTGAAATTTTTGGGCCGAGGAATATAATATTTTCGTCCTATAGTTTACACTGTATTATAGTTTTGGTTCTTTGCTTAGTGTAATATATGTGTCTTCAACATAGTGTAAAAATATTTCATTTTTGTATAGACAAATGCTATTTGCATAGAACTGAGACATATTATTCATTGTAGCGGTCACTTAAGAATGTATTTTTGAAGATCTTGAAGCTCCTTCATAATTTGTTTCCGTAGGAGAGGTGTTTTTCAATCAGAGCGTAATATAATACTCTCAGATACCCTTGATGAGTAAAAATCACTACGTTTTGGAAGTCCATCTCAATTATTTTTCAGGGTTTCGCAATCAGAAACTTTGTAGAAGATGGCAGTATCGTCTTCAAAACTTTCAATCTCCTCACACGTAGTCTTTGCTCAAAAAGGTCATTCAACATATAAATTTGAAAAAATCGGCCCCACCGGCCCCCACCGGAACACCGCATCTTATTGTTTTCTATTGTGAAAATAGCCGTGAATCAATTTGTTTATTGTTCCACTAATGCTAATATTTTTAAGCACACTCAATTGTTTTTAGTGGTCAGCGATATCAAATGCTTCAAATGCGATGAAAAGCACAGATGGATGTATGGAAGTTCTTTTGTCTACGTTAATATGCAGTCTGAAAATAGTACATAAGAGAACATATAATATAAAACAAACACCTCTATTTATGGTTTGAAAAACGTATCTATATTATAAAAAGCAAGTAACTATTGAATATGTCCTTGAATATTTAGAGTTCGAGAGGATTATTTCATATCCCACATTTATAGAAAACTGTATATGCCGACAAAAGTTAAAATAATGAATTCTTTGAATATCCCTACTTCTGCAAGAGAACGTTTTTGAAAACAAAAGTAACAATTTTTCTTTCGATTATGGCTTAAGGTAGAATTTTTTGAACACCTTTTCGTGAACAATATTACGGGAACTATCTAAAGCACACCGAGGTATTAGAGTAGGCACTTCATTTTTTGTGATCCATATTTTTGGATATTGATTATTTTTTGAATATACTAGTTTCATTATCCACTGAGTTCATTTAATATGAACCGATCATATGTCTGCTCTAGAGCAGACCCTTGTGGAATACTATGTTTATATGAGTTTCATTGAAATATTGTCATTAAGTTTCGTGATCTGAAATCCATTTTCAAGAAAAGACACAGAACATATTATT